ATGACTGTGACAGTTTGGAACTGATCTGTTAAGACTGTGCTTTTAAGGGGTCTACAGATGTGATTAGAACCCTGGGTCTCTGAGGATACCTGATGGTTATCTAATCCACTTCAAGTAGCTCTAACTTTTACCTATAAATGTAACAAATGTCAGTTCCACTGAACTGTCTTTATAAAAACTCAACAAAGTCTAAGCTAAGTTAATTGAAGTGTACTTTGGTATTCTAAATAAGCAGAAGTAAATTTTTCCTAAATAACAAATGTTTAGGTCATGACGTGTGTGTAGTTTAAAGTATTTGAAAAATTTACCGGTGCTTATCATATGAGAAATCGTTATTAATTATTCATAACGTATACATGAAAGATACGCATTCACAGGAAATCAACAAACTGATGACAAATAAATTTGACAGTATTGACCAAATGAAGTGTGTGCCATCAAAATTTGTCCTTCTGCTGAATTCTTACTCAGGAATGCAATTTGTTAGTGTTTATCAATATACATAAAAGTATCCAAGCTTTTGTTTATTTTTGTCAGCTACTGCATGTATAAATCAGAACAACCTACTTTGTGTAAATCTGATTGGTTTCTAATGTGATCTATTGTTGCTGAGCCTAGTTTATATTATTTTCTACATGAGTTATTACTTTTTCATTAATGATAAATGAAAAAGGCACCTAGCTATTTTCAGCCAATCAAAAAAGAGTAATTTTTCATGTATATCAGTATTGTGATGAATTCACCAAACCAAACAAGTAACTGAAAAGGAGTTGTAGTCTACCAAATAAAGGCCTGATACACATTATTGCCACCAAGTATAGATACCAATGCTTATCTGAACCATTATGAAGAGAATCTAGAAGACTGCCAAGCTTGAAGGAAGTCATGAAATGTTAAGGTCTGAATAATTCTGGCCATAACTTGGAAAACATAAGACTAATCACATTTCGGTTAATATTAAAGCATTAGGCTCCTATTCATATTTTAAGAAAAGCAAAACCACTTTGTTACTGAATTTCAGTGGATTACTCCCCAAAGTTTGGAAACAATCACAATAGACATTTAGCACCATGCTAACAACAAACCGCAGTTTCAGGTTAGGCATTAGATGTTTGCCACTTTTATTGGTTTAGCTATGTAAACATGAAAGTATAATTTCATTTAAAGAGGCCGTCAAATTGAATTTCCAGACAACAGCAGTGTTTGATTTTCTAATGGCAACAAAAAAGTCCTATTTTCACTACTGGCTAAAAATGGTTTATTCTATTTGTATTCAATGACATGTAATGCCATGGGTGGCAGGGTATTCTGCAGTTTGACCAAAATTTTATCTTTGCACGTCCTAAAAAGACTGATTAATTAATTTTCTTACTGAGCATGTGGTATAGACAGAAATTCAGGATAAAAAATGCTCCGGTAAATGACTATGTGAAATGTGACCACAGCGAGAGTCAATAATGACTTCTAAGTTTCGATGTGGCGCGACCTGCACTAAAAGTCCAGACCATGAAATGTTGGCCTGTGAGAGCACAACTACTCACTGTAATCCGCCTTTAGAAGACAAGCCGACCGTAGGAAAGCCGGCGTGTGAAATCTAAGCAACAAAGACGAATAAAAAACTAGATAAATCAAAGTGCTCTATGAGCAAACTCGTGAATTGACACATGATTTTTTAGATTATGTTTAATGTTAGCTGGTTTAGGGAATTTTGTGGTTGATTGCCATATCTAGAGTACGAGCAGTAGTTCATTATTCGCTAATGTAGCAAAGAAACAAAGTAACGTTGGGATAAGAAGGCATTACAATTGAAATGATCATGCTATTACACTTGACAAGGTGGATGATGTCATGTGTTTTAAACTTCTATCATTTTTGTTTCTGGTTCAAAAGAAAAGGTTGGAGGTAAATGTGGGTGAAAAGTGAAATTTACTGTCTTTCGTTGTAAATATTAGAAAATCAAGGCAATACTGTCTTAATGAAAACATTAACGATTCCCTCTTTATCAAATGAGACAAACGGGAACGAGTTTTGAGTGATATAACTAAGCCAAGCCTGCCACCGTCATTTTGGATCTTCGCCTGGGTAGATTTAAGTCACGTGCTAGGCAACGTATAATCAATAACTAGATAGAATTTCATTTCAGGCCTATTTATCAATTTTGTGGTGTGTAAATTTCGCATTTTAGTACATTGTATGTATGTTGAATCTTCAAATCGTCTTGAAACTTAAAAGAAAACTGTTCTTTAAAAATTCACTGAAAACCGGTAGCTAAAATTGTTTGTTTAGGTGTTATTTGATTTGCGTGTTAACTTGTAATTTCGTCAGTCGCCGGCATTTTTTGTTGCTTCACACAGGAAAAACACACGCGACGAAACGTAATGATCAATTTTGTCCTCAATCTCACGCCATAACAGAAAAAGCTTTTGAACATCTGTAAACTCCGAGCGCTTCGCAGTAAGT